GAGCTCTTAACCAACTGAGCCACTTGGCCGGCCCTTCTCCCATTTTTTAACTTGGAATCATTGCAAACTGTCTTTTTTCCTGAAGCCCTGCAAACTGCAACTAGATAATTAGATATAAACTTCAAAGAAAGCACCACAACAGTTCATATGTGGACAATCTTCCTGCCTATTGCTGTGTAAGCCACTTAGAGTTAACCTGAACACCCTATGACATCATCCAAGCCATTGAAATGGCAAAACAGGCTACCACCCTGACTTCTAGAAATCCTCCAGACTGCTTGCCTTCAGAACTCAGAAAGTGGGATAATAGTCTGCTCTAATCATTTAACCTTTGTTTTTCTTTGTTTCCGTAGAAATGCCTCTTATTAAATACCTGATTGCTTGCTTACAAAATATAAGCATCATCTGCATCACTGCCTCCTGAAATGAGACAAAACTGTTTAACTGAACTGACCTGTAGTTAAGACTGAGACTGGGGCCCGCCGAGTGGTGCGTTGGTTAGGAGTTGGCTTGGGACGCCAGCTCTGAGCAGCAGGGCCCCGGTTCGGATCCCACATATGAGGGCCGGTGATGCTGCGCCCTCTACAGCTAAGATGGTGAACAACAGCTCGACCTGGAGCTGGGCTGCCGTGAGTCGCCAGCGACTGCGTAGGCTACAGCGGGGCTGGCCTGCAGCGGGTGTGAGCTGCCGTGAGCCACTGTGAGTGGCCGTCCAATGGCTGGCGAGCGACTGCCTCACCAGGGAAGAGCGCAATGATAATACCAACATGGGCCAGTGAAACGACATCCTCCACAACTAGACTGAAGAACAAAAGGACAGCAACTTGTCTGTTCCCCTTCCCGGATTCCCCAATGCTGTTTCCCTCCCCCATTCCCAAATAAAATCTTAAAAAAAAAAAAAAAGACAGACTGGTTTAATGAGATAAAACAATACATCAACTTAGCTTCTGGAATGTGAAAATTCTTATTTGAAGTTCCAAAGGTGGGACTGAAGGGAAACAGAGTTTGCCACCCTAAAATATGTCTTTTTGGGATATAGATTATTTTAGATTAGTTAAATTTAAGAAACAGTGGACAAGGAAGAAGCTCTGAAAACCAAGTAGAAGTTACCCTTTGTAAAAGGACATTTACATTTGTAAGGGAAATCTCTATTTATAAGGTGTTTCTGTCTCTTGTACTAGGGTTGCCTTGGCTGCTTATAGAGAAGGGGTGGACTTACATCTGCATAACAATCACCCTTGCTTACTGTGCTTTTTCTGGTAACTTCCCATAACTGACTCTCCACCCCCAACACCTTCTTTTGTCTTTAGCTGAAGGTGGTATTTAAGGTGATGGCATCTGCCATTTGGTGAGTTACTCAGTTTTCCTGGGTCTGTCGCATGTATCCAAGGAGGTATACATGTTATTAATCCTTAATTTGTTTTTCTTCTTGTAATCGGTCTCCTTAGACCAGCCTGAAGAACCTTGAAGGGCAGAGGAAAAACTTCCAATCACTGACACCATCGACTGCAGAATTGATAATTGTGGCATAGTGACATAATGAAAAAACTTACACAATGAAAATGAACACATTACTATTACAAGCAACAAGTATGTTGTGAGCCATATATTTTGTTCACAAAAATATTGTTGAGCAAATGAAGCCAGGCAAGATACTATCTGATTTTATTAATATATAAAGTATAAAACAAACAAAATTAGTCCATTCTGGTATTATTGCTTCTGGCATTCTGGACATTTTCTCTTTTGTGATTTGCTTGTTGTTACATGGGTATACTCACTTTGTGAAAATTAATAGACTTGTACTTACGATTTGTGCCCTTTTTTGTACATATGTTATATTTCAACAACAAAGCACAATGGAAAAACAAAAAGTGAAGTTGATTCCTAAGAATACAGAACAGGCTTCTTTGCATGTCATGAGTGACCATTCCACTGCCATCACTGATGTGTGGACCATGAGAAGAAAGTTACTCCTGTTGATGAAAAACAACCAGCCTAAGAGAAAACTTATGAGTTTATTTGAGCCAGACTGTCGACAATTGCCAGGAAGCAAAATCTCAACGGATTGAGAAAATGATCCAAAGAATGGCAGTTATACAGCTTATTTTATACATAAAATCAAAGGAAGAAGGCTACATGAAATCCATTGGTGATAGATTAAGGGGGTGGGAGAAAGCAAAGTGGGGAAATCTCTGGGATTGGATAAAAGTAAATTGGAGAGACAGGTGCTTCTTTTACATAGGTGGGTGCAGGATAGTTAACAGCTTTTTACAGCACCTAGAGATGGTAATCAGGAGACAAGCATAATAGTGAGGAATTTTGCAAGTTTTCAGCTCTGGTCCGGAAAAAGGATTAAAGATGTTATCGGTACAGAAAGACAACAGGCCCACTTAAAAGGCACAGATTAACTTAATGAGGAAGCTGAAGATGTGACTTCCCACCATGGGCCACTTAGTTAAAAATTTTTTTGTATGTGTGTTCACACCATCTTAGTTTTAGTCTCCTAAGCTTGTTGGGTTTAACCTGTGGCCCCTTTTCTGTCCACACTCCCTACCCGGGTGACTCAGCCCATCTTCTTATCCGCAGTTGATAAGATTCTGAGAATTGTGTCTTCTTGCATATCTGAAAGGAAGGAAGGGCACTTGGTGTTTAGCTTGTGTGGAAGTGAGAACGTCCTTGCCTGTAAAGAACTTAAAGAGATTTTATTTTTGCCAAACTGACAGGAATTGCAAGATCTAAAATGCTCCAGAGAATGACAGTTTTGCAGTTTCTTTTATTTTTTCTAAATTTTTTATTGAGGAAAAGTGAGTTTTTCCAGGACCCATCAGCTCCAACTTAAGTAGTTGTCTTCAATCTAATAGTTGTGGAGGGCGCAGCTCCTTGGCCCATGTGGAAATCAAACTGGCAACCTTGGTGTTATGAATCTGCACTCTAACCACATGAGCTAACCAGCCACCCCTGCAGTTTCTTTTATACCTTTGGAATTAAGGAGGTTGAGTTCCAAGGGCCAGCATCCCAAGAAATAGAAAGTTAAGCCTGCCAGTCCCTTAAAAGCTGGATATGGACAATGTTTTATTGTCACTTTCACTATATTCTTTTGGTCAAGCAATCATGGAACCTAGATTTACAGGGAGGGGACATAGACTCCACTTCCAGATGGGAGACTTGTCAAACAATTTTGGGTCTATGTCTTAAAACCAGTTTTCTATTTTAAAAAATTTTTGGTTTTTAAGTCATGTACCATGACTTATTTAACTAGTTTTTCATTCTTTAAAAAAAAAAAATTATTGGGTACTTACTACCTGCCAAGCACTATTCTAAACTCTGAGGATACAACAAAGAGAAAAAAAAAACCTCGGCCCAAATCTATGTTCTTGTGGAGCTTACATCCCAATGGAGAAAGACAATAGACATAATAAAGTAAATCAAATTATGTAGTCTTTTAAAGATAAAGATAAGTGTTGTGGAAAATCTAAAGTAGGGTAAGGGAGATAAGGAGTGTAGCAGATAGGGATTGTTTTTAAAATAAGGTCAGAGAAGGCTTCACTGAGAAAGTAACCTTTGAGCAGAGACCTGCAGAAGGTGAGGCAATGAGTGGTGTGGTATCTGGAGGGAGAACATTCCAAGTAGAGGAAACAGTGAATGCAAAGGGTTAAAGTCAGATGTGTTTGGAGTGCTCAAGGAACAGACAGCCCTACTCCCAGAGATTCCAATTCAGGAGGCCTGGGGATGGGTGGGACGGATTTTAACAACATTCTAGTGATTCTGACTCAACACAGACTTCTGACCCTCATTTTGAAAGCTCGGGCTTCCAGGTTCTAGTTTTCATCTCAGCTTACCCCTTATTAACTAAGCTTCATTTTTCTATTCTGGAAAGAAAAAGAAAAAAGAGTTTTGGCATGGGATAACAGCACCTCCTTTGACAGATGTTTTGTTGCTTTAGGTTCAATAAGGGAGACCTCAGCCTCCCTCACCCACATCACATCAAGTTTTTGTCTGCTTGCGTTTCCTTTCCCTTTCTCGTTTTGTCTTTTCCATTTTCTTTCCCTCTCTATTCCTGTTTTCCTCTCCCCCCGCCCCCCTCCTTATTCCTTTCTTTTGTTCTCTTTTCCATTTATTTTTCTCTTTGATCAAATGTTGTTCCGAACTGCCTTCACCCTGGGGTATCGGGTTCCCATGTTTGTGAGTCCCTCCAGAGGTCTGGAAGGGGACTCCTTTAGTGCAAACCTAAGGGTGACACATACTCTGTGTGTGTGAGTGTGTGTGTGTATCTGAAAGCACAGGCACTTCCCCGGCAGGTGGCGGGGTGTCAGGGTGGGGTTCGGAGGGGGGCAGTGTCTGCTGGCAACGGAAGGGGCGCGGGGCGTGGAGGTGGTGGGCAGAACAAGGAGCCCACCCTGCAGCCGGACAGCTGGGTGGTTTCCAGCTTCTTTCAGGCGTCTACTCCACACCGGCTCACCGCGGAGCTAGGATGGGATGTTGTGATTGCCAAAGCCTCCGAGGTAACGTTTGTTGGAGCCCGCCTCTCCCAAGAGGGGTTTGAGAACTCCCAGACGCCGATCTGAGGCTTAGAAGCTTAGATTCGCGGAGGAGAAAGAGCAGAGACTTTTGGCCTGTCTAGGCCGCCGTAGCGAGGAGGCGGAGCCCGGAAGAAAGCAGCATGGCGGCGCTGGACAGTGACAGCGACGAGGACTTGGTCAGCTATGGGACAGGTTTGGAGCTGCTGGAAGAAGGTGCGAGCCAGATTGGTCTCTCGGGCCTGTGGAAAACAGGCCGGGGTTCCAGGATTCGAGGCGAAAATGCACAACCCTGTGCCGGGCCTTGGCTGGCCCCGGGGAAAGACTTGCTAGTTACGGGCGCTCGGAACAGCGACAAGGGAGGCGTGCGCCGTGCTTTTGGGGCGCTCAAGTTTTGCAGAGACGGATGAGAGACCCAGAGGGATGGGAAACATGATGAAACAGGCTCGTGCGAGAGTGGGGGTGGCCAGGCAATGTCTTTCTTAGGAGAGCACGTTTGAGCTCAGACTTGAAACAGAGGAAGGAACCAACCACACGAAGATCTGATGGGAAGAGCATTTCAGGCAGAGAGAACAGGACGTGCAAAGGCACTGAAGTCGGATCCAGTTTGGCAAATTGAGGGACAGGCTAGGACTGGTGTGGATGGAGCAGCCGGCCTCAGGGAGAGACTGGTAGCGGAAGTCAGAAGGGGAGGCAGGGGCTGGATCTTACTGGGTGTGGTAAGAGAGTTTGGGCTTTTCTATTAAGTGTAGGAGAGTCATTGGGGAGTTTACAACAGGGAGAGATGTATATGTTAAAGATTACTCCGTTCATTTTGGGAATAGGTGGAGGGTTGTGGGCGGGCAGGAGGGAAGCAGGGGGATCAGCAAAAAGAGGTCTGGAGATGATGATGGCTTCGGCTGGAGTGTTAGCAGTGGCGCTAGTAAGTGGTGGCCTGGGTGAAGCAGTAAAACCTTGGTTTGCGAGCATAATGGGTTCCGGAAACATGCTTGTGATCCAAAGAACTTGTATATCAAAGCGAATTTCCCCATAAGAAATAATGGAAACTCAGATGATTCGTTCCACAACCCAAAAATATTCATATAGAAGTGATTACAATACTGTAATATAATACAAAATAATAAAGAAAATACAAAATATAAAGAAAAGTAAACAAATTAACCTGCACTTACCTTTGAAAACCTTCGTGGCTGGTGTGAGGGAGACAAGAGAGAGGAGGGTTATTGTGTAGGACCACTGTCACTATCACTAACGGAATCACCGCTATCTATTGGCTCAATGGAACCTTTTTCTTTTTAAAGATTTTTATTGGGGGGTTTGGGAGATGGGAACAGCGCTGGTGAATTGGGGGAAGGGGAACAGACA